ACAAAGCACCAAACCGCAATGAACGGCAGAACAGGACAGCTAGAACGCAAGCACGTATAGCTGTACACACAAATGTTGACGAAACCACATTGCTGTATCATGGACGATGAAACATAAGTAAAAGCGGACTTCAAACAAATTCCGGGAAACCAGTATGTGACCGCAAACGACAAGTTCGATGTGTCAGAGTCCCTCAGGAAACAGCAAGTGTCGAAGTTCTCCAAGAAATTCATGATTTAGCAGGCGATTTCTTCCTGCGGAAAACGGAGCAAACTTTTCGTAACACAACGTTCCTACAATTTTTGGCCGGATCTAGTCTCTTGTCGTTACTTCAATGATGTTCTGTTGTGGTACAAGACGAATAGGGTCAATTTCGTGCCGAAGGATCTCAATCCCCCAAACATACCGGAGTTGCAGCCGATCGAAAGATACTGGTCTATAATGAAGCATGAACTCCTTAAGCATCCTAAAGTTGTCATTACGTCACATTTTGACTCCTACGCACATCATTAAGTTGATTCTTTCTGCAGCTCATCTTGTTGCCTGGTACATTGCCTGATAGACACAAGTGGTTTTAATTTTCCTACGATACCGGAAATCTGCAGGGACAAGCTTTTTCAACTGTCTGTATATTAATTTCCACCAGTGTTTATTTACCACACAAAAGATGTTAATACCCACTTAGATGTTCAATTCAATTAAAATTATATGCAATTTATAATTATTTTGGAAATCTTTAAAACTACTCAGAACTAAGCCTTAGGTGAGCGGAATTATGGCACTTTACGATACACTATTTTATTAATAACTCGGCTGGATTGACATTTTATAAGTGAGTGACACCGACGAGTTCACCTAGCAATTTTAATATTCAGGAGACACGTGGACGAGGTTATGATATATTTCAACGTCACAACTCTTTTGTCCAGCATACCGGTCATGAAAGCGATCAACTTTTTGAAGAACTGGCTTTTAACACAACGAGGGGATGCAGCATGGAGGAACAAGGTTCGGACCTACCTCAAGCTGACTCGCCTTTGTATGAATGTGAACTACCGCGGTGGCACCATATTTGACGCAGGTCCAAACTTGATGCACTTTTCTACTATGCCTGCGCACGAAATAGCACCCAATAATCAACCACTAGTGTTTCATTAACACTCAACCTTTACATTCGCAACGAAAAACTGTTTGTGGATAGCTTTCTTTCGCTAATATATGAGCGGCAGAAAAATTGCATCTGTCAAATAAGTCAAATTTCGACTGCTTTAACCCTTTGTCTTTACCTACTTCTAAAATAAAGCTATGTTCATTGCGAAAATCCTTCAAAACGGGTATTAAATAAAATTCGGAATATGTCTCAACTGAGACTCAGAACCAGAACATTTACCGTCTGTTCTCAACCAAGTTTGCGAGTGTATTCTCGGATGAGAACCTACCTGACGAGCACATTTCTCTAGCAGCCAGTAATGTTCCAATGTCTGGTCAATCTTTGGCAGCACTATGATAACTAGGGCGGCTTCGCAACTGAAGTCTTCATTTAAGCCTGGACCTGATGGAGTTCCTTCCGTCTTTCTCAAGCAATACATCGATAGCCTGGTGGCTCCTCTGGTGGCCTTCTGTTCGAAATGTCCCTCTCCAGTGGAGTGTTTCCTTCCTACAAGGAATCAGCTGAGATGTTTCCAGTGCATAAGAAGGGATGCAAAAGAAACGTCGACAACTATCGCGGCATGACATCGTTGTGTGCCATATCTAAACTGTTCGAGTTGGTCGTCATGGAACCATCAGTCTCCTTTGCTAAGTTGAACCATCCTATAGCGATCGCCAAACTGGATAGGCTCGGTATAAACGGCAGTCTCCTTCGATGGTTCGCATCCTATCTATCTGATCGTCAGTTGGAAGTTACAATCGACGACTGCCGATCTCCTTCGCTCCCTGTCACTTCGGGTATCCCGCAAGGTAGCCGCCTCGGCCCGTTGATATTTCTTGTGTATACCAACGACGTCAATTTCGTCCTCGACGGTCCACGACTGTCGTTCGCAGACGACATGAAAATCTATCTCTGAATCCAAGCCATCGCTGACTGCCACCTTCTCCAACTCCAACTCAACGCTTTTGCTAATTGGTGCCAACTGAACCGCATGGTTGTAAATCCAACAAAATGTTCACGTTCTCACGGAAGAAACATCCAATTACATTCAGTTATATCCTAGAAGGAGTTGACGTACATCGTCTGAATCACATTAAGGATCTGGGAGTCATCATAGATTGTCGACTCACATACAGCCAGCATATCTCGTTCGTGATCGACAAGGCATCCAGAACGCTCGGCTTCATTTTCAGGATAGCTAAAAATTTCACGGACATCTACTGTTTGAAGTCGCTTTACTGCTCCCTCGTCCGGTCGGTGTTAGAATACTGCTGCCCTGTGTGGAATCCCATCTACCATAACAGTGTACACAGAGTAGAGTCTATTCAACGACGATTCATCTGGTTTGCCCTTCGACGATTGCCTTGGAGGGATCCTCATCGCCTTCCAAGCTACGAAAGTCGGTGCCAGTTAATTCACCTGGATCCTTTGTGGAGTCGACGAGATACGACAAGGGCCCTGTTTGTGGCAGACATTCTACAGTCCAGAATCGATTGTCCTTCTATTGTACAACAAATCGACGTTAACGTTCAACCACGAGCACTCCGTATCAACGCAATGCTGAGGATACCTTTTCGTCGTACAAATTATAGTTCGTATGGTGCTATCAATGGGCTTTTCAATCGGGTTGCTTCCTTATTTGATTTCCACTTGGCACTCGAGACACTGTGTCAGAGATTCCGTGATATATTTTTAAGAATTAGGAATTAAGTTGGACTTCACGGCCTTTGCAGCTTGTTACTTCTTGACTATATTGTATTTTCTAGTATTGCTTAATCCATCATTGGGACTAATGTCGATGGGATCCTAAATCGGTAATGACCCTATGTCCCCACCTCATGATCTCTAGATGTGTACTGACTCATTTTTGCTGAGAACGCATTACTATTATGAAGAATCAATAGAAATAACTGTTTTGATTTAATAGTTATTTGTCATGGACGCTATGTACTTAACGAAATCTTCAACAATCAACAATTAATTGAAATTACCGTGGACTCCCGGTAATCTGACCGTTCTTAATCTGAACATTTTTTTAGTTTGAACCCCGCTAATCTCTCCGCTAGCTCGTGGAAACTATAGATACTAAAGATTCCATGGATAAGCGGAGGCTAAGTATAATGTAGCAAAACGAACTGTCAGTTAGTGTAGCCAAACGAGCATGACGTCATCATGTTGTTGTTTGAGGGAGAAGTATTGTAATATTATGAGCCCAAAACGCTTTCCACACTCCACATTCCGATTTATTTCGCGGACAACGGAAGAAGGAAACCCTAATAAAAAATAACCATAAACGAACGATAACCCAAATCATTGAACTATTCCACAAATGGTTTGGATGATACCCAGAACACGTCGTTAAGCAAATTAACCATACAATTTTTATTAGGGAAGATAAAGCAAACCATTGCTCGAGTCATTGTTGCAAAGATTTGCTTTGCACTTCATTTTGAACTTTTATGCACGAAACAAAACAAAACTGCACAACGAAGAGCTCTGATGTCATGAACTTTTTTCATGGATGCCAGTGAGATCATTTATTTTTCATGGTTGCCAAAACAACTTTTTGTGCCTCCACTTATCTATGGAATCCATAGTATTCTAGTGGAAACGAGTAAAGCGAAATGGAACGATGTGAAACGGAACGCAGAATCAAAACAAAACAGAAAACAAGGCTACCAGAAACTCACTTTTCTCATGGTCGTAGGGTTACTAGTAGTTCAAATTAAAAATGAATCCCGTTAATATGCACGAAGTGTCGTTCACTTTAACGGGGGTCCACGGTATTACATTTGTATGGTGCGTCAAATTAGGACCATAGCATATATTTATTAGATATCAAAAGTCATTATTTCCCAACATGTTTTAACAATCTCGTCCAATTTTATATTTCCCCTATTTTTCTCCTTTTGGCATAACACCGTTTAAATTTTATTGCGGTTTAATAACGCAAGCTTAAAACATGATACAATAGGAAGTGTCGGACATTCAATCAGGTATCAAACTAAAAATAATAAATTGTCGTTTCATTGGTTGCGCGAAGTAGGAGGGGCAGTAGAAAAGCGGGGGTTGGCGAGTTTCTACGGTTTCCAAAAAAATGTATGAACAAATGCCTACTTTGCGAGGCTTTTTTAATACTTTTTAAAACAACCTATGTAGTTTATGAACAGCCCTTTAATTCTTTCGATGGTTTTACTTTTTGTTTTCTATATGTAGAAAGCTTCTATAAAAATGATTGAAATTATTTTGGTCTAGAATCAATATAGGCTCTAGCCTCTACTTACTAAACTTGGTCAAAAACAATGTACAAATGTTTTAATTAACCTTTTCATAATAAGCAGTTAAACCAGCTCAATTTTTCACCAATTGACGAACCAATCTTCGCCTAGTAGTAGACATTAAATTTATGTAACCCTTAGGAATCTTATCCATCATGGCATTCAGTTGACTGCAAACATTCTTCTAGTCTCGGGGCTTGGCTGTATCGTTCGAAATAGCAATGACAATTAAAATTTAATTACGAACATTTACTGATTAATTAAACTTTTTTTTTAATCTAATATAAAAATCGATAAACTAATGTTTGCTTACCGTTGATGATTACTAATTTCAGGATCAGGAAAATTTGGTGTTAATAGTAGACGAAAATACAAGGCATAATAACACAAATAAATAAGCTTGTGCTCTATTAAAATAAAACATCATGAAATTAAAATCAATGTTGCAAAATCTCCGTAGGAAACAACACACAGAACCACCAAACACTCGAATTTCATCCGACAAGGCTAAAGCAGTCCCCAATTCTTCCATGTATATTCCTCACACTCAGAATAGAATCAAAACTACTTACTTTCAGCTCGCTTCTCTTCGTCCGTGGTTGCTGGGTGCTTGGGCGACGAATTTTTCTCTGCCGTCTCCACTGTAGACTTCTCCCCCTTGGAGGCACCTTTCTCAATCGTATTCTGATCGCCATTTTTGTCTTCCTCCAAAGTAGTGGAAGGGCGCTCTACGTCCTTCGATTCTGGCTGCTGAACGACTTTCGTAACAACCGATTCCAGCATAGGTTCGTCCACGGCATCTTCGTTGTCCGCCGTAGGAGTGGATACTCTTTCCGGAGTTCGCAAATCGTCACCCCCTGGGCCGAATTTCATTATTTCGTTGGGCGTCAAATCCGTCGTCGGCAGTGGTGGGGTGCAGGATGCCTCCCGTGTATTTGAAGAATCCTCTTCGAAATCCATGGTTACCTTCACACTGCACTTTATTTTGAGAACTAGCAAATGTTTAACACGCAGTACAGATTAAAATTTAGTTTTTCTCGGCGGCCAGGCACGGCAATACTTGGAAAGTATATTGAGAAAATTAAAACTTATTGCTCCACGATGGCCACCATTGTTGTTTTCTCCGTCTGTCACTTCTGGGCCGTAAAGTGAAGTTTTCTCACCTCGCGATGTTCCGGAGAGTTGCACTTCACAGTGCTGCCAGTGTCGCTTATCTAAAATTGAACCCGCAGCAATATTAAATAATTTAATTTATTATTGTATTTTGCATTTCTATAGATTAATTATAACTAGACTCGATGATGATTATTTACAACTGGACTCTTTAAAAGTACGGAATCGCTAATAAATGTGCGCTTTAACGTTACAAATATTGTCTTGGTATCTTTGCCCTTCGTTATGAGCCAAGGAATAAGTGCACGAAGACACAAACATGATTCAACGTAAAAGCGCACTTTTCATCGCCCTTATAAAGTATGTGCGCATTATACGCTATATATCTTTTGATAACTTCGACCTAAAAAAGAAATATACAGCAAAAAAAAAGTGTACTCTGATCTGACGTAATCCATGCCGCTGTATCAAATATTGATGTAATTAACCACTTCATTCGAGCAGTTAAAATGACGTTTACTAACACTCGAACTTTGAAATAAAACATTATTTTAAGAAAAGTATCCAACAATAATAACAATTATTGTACGTTTCATACAAAAATAGAAATTAGTTGGTCCAGTTTTGTGAAATCGCTGGTAGAAAGTCACGCCAAAACGGCTTGACAAAGTGGTCAATTGCAAAAAAAAAAACTGATGCAATATTACATTGATGAATGTAAATTTGTTCACCAAACCATGTAGTTACATCGTAAAGCGTAATATTACACAACAACTGATAGAATGACTTGGGTGCAGCAGATTCGATGTAATATTCAACAACTTTTTTCGCTGCGTGTGTACTTAACTGCCCATAAAATCATAACTGTCCCTTATGAAAAAGATACCTAGCAGAGATGGGAAAATTATTGTTTTATGAACAGTTAATATGTGACTAATCAAGAAAGTCGCATATTTCTAGATTAATTCTTGAAAAGGTCCTACCGGTGCCACAATTGCTTTTATAAACAATGCACATGCAAAGTAACGACACTATCTGATAGAGGAATGTTTCTTCTACTAACTGGCATCGTTAATATGGAACAAGTGAGCCGTTATTTGCGAGAGATCGGCGATTTAAGTTGTTTATGAAAGCAATTTTGCGCTAATGAAAGGTTGACACTGCTATCTGCTCTGAGCGATTCTCTTTTGATAACCACAGCTATATAACAATCTAGCTTCTACAATCTAGAATAACAACAGCATGCACAAACACACAAAACAAGGTGAAACCAACATTCATTAATATTAAACTTTGTATTCACAAAACAACTTGTATCTAGCAACACTCTTTTTTCCGAACGCAACCAAACAAAACATACCTTGGTGATTATTTTCGGGTTCGGAGTTCTATCGAATGCGCAATAAAACACACGCACACCACTTTGCAGCACTATCAAAAAGACTGAGATGCCGCTTTTGTCCAGAATGTGCAATCGCAAATGTTAAGTACCATTTTCGCATAGGCGCATCTACCAAACCTCGGACTTTCGAAAGATTTACATTCACGCGCGATAGCTGCACGGATTTATACAACAAGATTGCACTTCTGAATCAATTTTGATACCGAAAACGCGAAAAATAACTTTCTCAAATCACATCGCACCGCAGATGATGAAAATTTTCCCGTTGTACAAACACAAGCGCAAAGTGCATCGCGAGAGAAAAAAAACTGACAGTGACAAATGGGAGATGCACTTTCGACGCATGCATGCGGAAGTGTTGCCAAGTGAATAATTATTGGTGGAAAATGTCGGTAATGCAGTATGGAATTTGTTTGAGGTATCGAAAAATAGAAAGCGCTCTCAAATTATTAAAAAAGACGCTAAGATGCACTTTAGGCCTGCTACGCAGCTGAAAAGTAATGACATGTGCTACGGGATTGGCGTCTTGCAGTGAAACTTTTCCAAGCTTTCGCCTCCTACATTTCAAAGTGAGAACTACTAGAAGGAGGATAGTTTCCAAATTTTCCAAGTAAAACAGACGATTTTTGAGGCATATCGGTCCAAAAAGAAAAACTAATAATTTCCCGTGGAAACTTTTGCTTGAATCGTGTAAGAAAACGTGTTTGCAAACTAACTGTTATTATTTCGGTATCGATCGGAGATGTTTTCGTGGAAAATTATGCATAACAAGTTTGCACCCACAGGGAGAGGTTACCTCCTGCGCAGCTGCATTTTTCGGAAAATGGTGAATATGAGCGATTTCCACTAGGATGAAAGTGGAAATTAAGTGAATTTACTTAGGAAAGGTTGTATGATGCTGGTGGTAATGGAGAATTGGCTGTATAGGACGCCAATATTCAATAAATGTTCATTTTGCCCTTTTCTTAGCAAACATATTGATACTCACAATTTTCGACGGAAAACGCAACGGAACTTGCTTTACTCAACACGCACCATACTATAAAATGGTGCTAGATGGTCTTCAAAGTGATAGCAAGATGACAAATCATCGTTATTTTGAGTAATTGAGCAATTTACTTCTGTTTACATCATATTTACGATGCAGCATTGTTGGAGCCGCGAAATGAAATGAATATATCTTATGAAAGTTCAACTGGAAAAGTCAAAGATGCACATCAGTCTGATCGTAAAAACGTTTTCTTCTTAAATTCGAATGTTATATTGGAAGAATTTTACACAGGCTTGATGAAAATTATGATTTAACGCTAATTTTCACGAATTTTATATGCAGTCTGTCAACATTATCATCATCATGCAGTGGCGACATCTGCGTTGAACTGTTACGGCAATCTTCCAATAGGACACGGAATGCTAATTAAATTACTTTTCCATAGCATTTCTTGACTTAGTACGCAGTTCAAAAGAAGTCGGTAAAGGAAAAATCGATTACATTAGTATCGTGATTCGCGATCAGAATATTTTAGCTTGAAATCCCTCCGTTTAATTCTCGGTACATCTTTAATCTATTGATTGAATTAAAAAAAAATCTTAATATGATTTTTTAAGATTTCGTGCGTTTTGTGAACGCACATTCTTTATTTTGCATAGATATAATACTAGAAACGCGGATGAAATAAGAACACCACATTTCTTGACTTGTGCTTCACAGAATTCATTATTTTTTAAAGGAATAAATGTTTTCAATTCGATGCCTAGACACATTAAACGTTCAACAACATTAGCAGAATTTAAGAGACATTGCATTTCACACGTTAAAACCACAAACGAAGTGACAGACGACTAACTGGCGAAGAAATCAATTAAAATAAGGTGGTTCGCTGTAATAGAATTTTCTTAGAAGCTTGTGCCATCAGCCACCAGATGGGCTAGTTTTTTTGTTTTGATTTGAACATAGTTGATTTTGTGTGCAATATGATCTTTGACAGTGTGCAAAGAGTGTATCATTTTGTAATTGTTTTTTATGCATTTCAGTTTAGAGTAGAGTGAAAGAGATAGAACCGAAACATTCTAGTTCAATTGGTGAAAATGCTAGTTCAATCCAGTAGTAGTGTTGCCATGTGGTACAGTCCAGTAGTAGTGGTGTTGCCATGTGGTACACTGAAAAATTGCAATAGCAGGTTAGTCACCAAAGTTTTCGAGCCGCTCCGTCTGTCACTTCGTTTGTGTTAAAACTGTCTTTCGAACGGTTATCCAGTGATTTTTTTTTTATGAATTGACAAATTAAATATGTATTTTGACGAAGTTATTTTTAACGGATTATTTTATATGGATAGCTATTATAACGACTTTTTAATAATTATTGTAGCACTGCAAAACTATTTTGTTCGCCACGATGGATTTTTGATATATGATTTAATAGTAGTAAAAAAATAGTAGTCTACAAAGGTTTGAGCCTCGCGCGCGTATTATGGATATATGTAGAGGACTGAATTTAACATTTGATAAAAAAAAAAATGCAATTTTGAAGCTTATTTGGAAGATACCTTGAGTTAGTAGTAAGTTTTCAGGCAAATTTGGGGGGTTCGTGAGCATTCCTGACATTGCTGAAAATTATGATAGCATCAGATTGCGGGGTTACTAGTGTAATAGGATGCTTTGTTGATTGTTCATTAACTCTTGATTGCTTGTAATGCTTATGAATATTTTAGGTGGAAAAAAAGGCGAACTAAGAGGTGGACGCCTGAGCTTTTCCACATTTATATCGCTGTGAAGAAACTGTAAACTCTAGAGGGAATTTATATCTGTAACTGAAACCAGTTCGATTTTGTTTGCCAACCTGGTTAAAATGTCATATTTAATTATCTTAAAGATAAATCGTCCAGCTCAAACCTTTGTAGGGGTAAGAGGTGGGCCCATCGTCATCATCATCATAGAAAACGGGAACGGGGTGTTTCTGTGGTGATAACAAGGATTTTCCTACACAGATTACAGTTTTCTGTACCAAGCACTGACATTATCAGACGGTACCTCTATTTATGCTTTTAGATTAGCTATGAAAGTCCCTCCTACATGAAAAATTATGCTATAGAACGGTTTTTTTGCATAATTCTTCAAGTAGGAGTGACTTGCAATGCTTATCTCTTAGCATAAATAGAGGTACCGTCGAGTTTTTTTTTTCAGTGCTAGGTTATGAAATTCGACAGTGAGCGTTGAAAAGGGCCTACTTGTAATGTTCGATTCTCTTCATCGATTTTCTGTTTACAGCTAAGCGAAAAAATTCAAGCTGAACATTGCATTAGGTCCTAAGTAACACTGACAAGATTCTCTTCGTCGACTTTCTCCTTGAATCCACTCGGCCCAGGTATTTTCAGCACACATATCGATAAAAGAAGTTTTTATCTAGCAACAAGAAACGATTCTGTGCTCAAGTTATTAAGGCTGTGTTCCATTTGGTGAATTTTTACTTAAATTTGACAGATGGAAATTTTTCAAATAAACCTGCTATTCTAGCAGACTTATTTCTGACAGACAAGGAATCAATTTGACAGACGCTTTCTCGAAAATCGGCCGATCTACAACAGAGGGATTTTCGAATATCTTAATTTATTTTCGAAGTGTCAAATCTAAGTGAAAATTTTCCAAATGGAACACAGCCTTAGTATTTTTTTTATTTGTTCAATCGGTAGATAAAAGATGTACCGAGAACTTATTGGAGGGATTCATGGCTAATTGATATCATCTCGATCAACTATGAAATGTTGCATAACATTGATGCAAAATTGTGCACTCCGTTTTTGTGTGTGCATTTATTTTTAACGTTTTGAAGTTGAATCGCTGAGGATCAATCTTATTTCAAAGCGACCTAGCTCTGGTATTTGGTGACTACAATCAGTCTGGGCTCTCATGGAACGTTCTCTTTGATGGTTTCAACCTGCATGGCTTAACGCAAATCAACTCGATACTGAATAGCAACACTCGGCTGCTTGATCTCGTTCTGGCGAACGAAGCTGCAGGACTGGAATGTTCTATCCTAGAAGCCCCAGAGCCTTTGATTGGCATCGACACCAATCATCCTGCGTTGGAAGTTTCCATCAACCTATCTGTTCCTGTTCGCTACGATAACCCCCTGTTGATGTACATGAGCTCGACTTTCGTAGAGCAGATTTCGTCGCGCTAAGTCACTCGCTTGCACAGTCAGATTGGCAGTTCCTTGACACGTGTTCATCTATTGATGAAGCCGTCAACTACCTCGCTGAGGTCGTTGGCCGGGCAATAACTGATTCTGTCCCATTGAGGAGACCCTCTCCCAAATCCGCATGGTCCAATGCTCGACTACGGAATTTGAAGGGTCTGAGATCGAAGGCCCTCCGTAAATACTGTCGTACTCGTAACCCATTCACCAAACGATTATTTTCAACAGCGAGCAACGAATATCGCACATATAACCGCATTCTTTACAAGAGCTACACAAGGCGTGTGCAGGCTAATTTACGGCTTAATCCAAAGCAGTTCTGGTCATTTGTGAATACCAAACGAAACGAGGAGGGGCTACCAGTCAAAATTCACCTGGGTGATAGAATCGCCAGCAATTCCCTTGAGAAATGTTCTGGCAGAACATTTCAAAAGCATTTTCAATGACACTACGGCTTCGTTGTCCCAAGTTGCTGAAGCGGTGAGGAACACTCCCAGTGATGCTTTCAATTTTACGAATACCTCGGTTACAGTAGACCTCGTCGGATCCGCCATCAAGAAGCTGAAATTTTCTAATGCTGCTGGCCTGACGGGATCCCCTCAAGCATCCTGAAACGATGCTGTTCAGAGCTTACAACACCGCTTTCGAAGCAGTTCAATATTTAATTACAGCAGGGGAAGTTGCCTACGCGTTGGAAATCGTCATTCATGTTCCCGATCCGAGCGAGGGGGGCGACTCTATCTACGATGCAGGGAAAATTGTGTTTTGCTGTGCTTTGCTGCGCGCACGCTAAGTGGATAGAAAGAAGATTGATGACGATTCTGAAGATTTCCTGCAAAAATATTATGCGCGACGCAAGTAGATGCGAGAAATGAAAGAAGATTGTTCGAAGATTGATTCGCTAGTGTGAGATTTGTTGAGCATCAAGAATTGAGATTTAGATGTGTCGCCCCCCTCGGATCCGAGGGGGACGACTCTATCTACAATGCAAGAAATATTGCGTTTTGCTGTGGTTAGCTGTACGCATGCTGAGTATATAGAAAGAAGAT